AAGAGATGGTGCCATGGTGGAAGCATGTGGAGTACTGTGAAAAGAAGGCATTCGTCCCTGGAACCAAGATATACACACACCCGCGTCACTCCAAACAAGTGAGGATGCCGCATACAGGCTCAGCAGAAGCAAGTCCCACAGCAACGGCAAGCGGCAAAGGAAAGACTAAAAGCGACGGAAGTGACCAGTCGGCTGAGGCGACCGTCGGCGAGGGGGAGTGGAGTGTCTGGGAAGTGGACGGCGAGAAAGACGGTGTAGGTTGATGCGCTCTTCACATAACATTAACCCCGAAAGCTAACGAGAATTGCAAACTAGCTGTTCTGCCAGAATCTCTCCCTGTTCGCGAAGCTCTTCCTGGATAACAAATCGGTGTTCTTCGACGTCACGGGATTTAATTACTTTCTCCTGGTCTATACACCTCCGCTACCCGAAGTACACCCAGCATCTTCAACACAAACCGATTCGGCTCCCGAGTCACTTTCCAATTCCCAAAATTCCGCACCTATTTCATCGATCCTGCCGGTCGACGCCTCCACTTCCCTGTCACCGCGCCCTAGACCGCAAATCGTCGGCTTTTTCTCGAAAGAGCAGATGTCTTGGGATAATAATAATTTAGCTTGCATTCTGGTCTTCCCGCCATGGCAACGCAAAGGCCTGGGCGCCTTGCTTATGGGTGTTTCTTATGAGATCTCGCGACGCGAGGGTGTCTTGGGTGGACCCGAAAAACCCATATCAGAGCTAGGACGCAGGGGATATAAGCGATTCTGGGCCGGCGAGATTACTCGGTGGATTCTCGAGCTGGATATACCGACTCGGTCTACGGAGTCTACAGAGTCTACTCCCACTACTAGACATACGAGAAGAGAAAGAGAGAAGGAGAAAGAAAAAGACCGAGGGGCAGACAAGATCAAAGGACATGAGGGCCTTATCGTTGATGTAGAGCAGTGCTCCCGAGACACCTGGATTGTCCCTGAAGACTGCCTCGCCGTGCTCCGGGAGATGGGCGTTGTCGAGGTGGCCGGACTCGGACCACCCAGAGGTGAGCGAGACAACGGCGGAGACGGGAGTGCGGATACAAATACACATGGGAAGGAGAAGGAAGAAAAAGAGTCAAAACTACCCCTCGTCCCTAGAGTTAGAATCGATAAGGCGGCCGTCCGCAACTGGGCACGCGAGAATAGGATTGACCTCGCCAGGGCCTGCGATCCTGATGGGTTTGTGGAAGGATATGCTATAAAACAAGTCAAAGATAACAATGATGAAGAATGAAGGATGAAATCACGTTCTTGGAGGTCTTCCTGCCCACGCGGTAGCGAGCGTTGCTCGTATGTTTTAGAATCTAATAGGTACGATATGGATGGAAAGCGAGGCGTCTTGGAACGTGCATCGTGGGCTGATGTCACAGAAGATGGCGTGGCCTGCAATTTACAACAATTTTGCCAGTTACCAAACTTACACGATTGATCTTGTTTGACTATTGCTATATCTCATCACAGGTCTTGTCACGCCACTCGGATCCGAGGTCTCGCAACAGCTGGACAAAGAACCTCGAGAGGAAGAGTTACAGTGTAAACGTGTAGTGAATTGGAGTATATTGCCCAGCACCACTCCACTACTTAGATACATGGTCTATTCCCACGTCAAGTACGAGAACAATACAATCCGTTCGCAGGGGGAATAGATGCCGTGAGCGGGGAGCCCCCGCATTCCATGTGCCGCTCTTCCCATCCATCTCCATCTATACCTCCATCTATTAAGTGTACTCACCGAGGTATATGGCGTCTGGAGATATATATCGTGGCAGGATCTGCGTTACATCGTAGCACATGGCACAGCAGACAAGCAGGCAGGTAGGCCTACCGAGAATCACTTGGGGTGCGCTTGAAGCTCTAGCCTGTTAATAGAGAATATATACCTAAGTAGCAAGACTATAAGTACTAAGGAATTACTTATCCATATCTATTAATACCTAGGCCAGTTGGTGACTATGTATACTAGTTGAGAATAACTTACCTCTTGCCTACTAACTTTACTTACTGGCTTTCTACTCGATATAACGACCCGATACACGCACCTCTCGCTCTCGGGCCGCCGCATATATAACTCACCTAAAGTAAAGGTATTTTTATCTACCTACTCTACCTGCCTACCTACCCCAAATCTCCTCTTTGCTTTCAAATCTCAATCTCATAATCCCAAACTCTTCTCTCGACAATCTTGCTTCCACTTAGTTAACGGGAAAAAGAAAAAAAAGGAAAGGAAAGAAAGGAAGAAAGACAAAAAGACGAAATGACGCCCGGCCGTAGCGTGATCGTGACAGGGGGCGCAAGCGGCCTAGGCAAGATCATGAGCGGCTACTTCGCGGCGCGGGGCGACGCCGTCACGATCCTGGACATCAACGCTGCGGATGGGGTCGCCGTGGCGGCGGAACTCGACGCTGTAGCCCAGGCCCAAGCCGTAAGTGACGCCGGCACGAAGGCGAACGGTAGCAGTGATGGTGATGCTGGTGGTGGTAATAGTGGTGGTAGTAGTAGAGGAGGAGGAGGAGGGGGAGGGGGAGGGGGAGGGGAAGGGGGAGTGAGGTTCGAGAAATGCGACGTCACGTCGTGGACCGAGCAGAAGGCGTCTTTCAAGGCCGTGTATGAGCGCCTCGGGCGCGTCGACGTCGTCGTCGCTAATGCTGGGATCTCTGAGGGCGGACGCAGCTGGGTTGTGCCGGCGAGGGAGAGGGAGGGGAACGGGCTTTTGGACGAGCCTGAAGAGCCTGGGTTGAAGGTTCTTGATGTGAATCTTACTGGGGTTGTATACTGTATGCAGTCCGTTTTCTCTTTTCCTTTTTCTCTTCTTCTTTCCTCCCACTCCCTTCTCTCTCTCCGTCTCTGCCTCTCGTTCTTTTTCATCTTATACTTCCTGAGAAAAAGAGTAAAGAAACGCCGGGGAAAGGGGCCTCTAGGTATTACTCTTGAATCTATGGAGTTCGTCATCATTTGAAAGAAACACCCGAATTTAAAATCTGCCTAATCACTACAACCAATCAGTCAGTCAGTCAGTCGGTCGGTCCGTAAACTAACCAAGACATGAAACCCCTCCCCTCACAGCCGTGAAACTGGCACTGCACTACATGCAACGCAACACGCCAGACGCGGCGACGGGGTCCCGCGGCTCCATAATCTGCACGGCGTCCAACGTAGGCCTGTACCCGTTCCCGCCGGCACCGCTATACGCGGCATCGAAACACGCCGTCGTGGGCCTCGTGCGCTCGCTCGGCCCCGTCTACGGGCTGCCTCACATCGGCATCAGGATCAACGCGCTAGCACCAGCCGTATTAGGTGCGTTTCATTGCTTTCCTTTCCCGTTTCACTGTGTTTTGTCACCCTGCGTAGGAGAGAGTTCTTAAGGGGGAAGGGGAAGGGGAAGAGGGCGGGGAGTGGGCGAGGAGTGGGCACCAGATAACGTACCCCCTTTTTTCCCCCTCTTCTCTCTTGCGGTACTGGCTAATTGGGCGAGGGAAAAATGAAATAGAAACGAACATAGCAGGCACAGACGCCCTCTTCGACAACATGGTCATCACGCCGCCGGAGACTTTGATTGCGGGCGTGGAGAAGCTCATAGACGATGCGTCGCTCAATGGCCAGGTGGCGGAGATCCACGGCCCGAGCGTCACGTTACGTCCGCCGCATGACGTCGTCGACGAGGACTCGCGGCGTAATTTGCAGGAGTTTTCTCGGTTCGGTTACGGGCAGTGAAGTTGGAGGTTGTGGGGGAGCGTAGATGAGAGGGTTGGTGCTGCATAGTTGAGTAAGAGGGAATCTGGGTATGAAGGGAGAAAAAGACCGCGATGGCGTTCCACTGAAACCGAACGATCTTTGGCTGGATTCTACCATTGGCCGTGGGAACTTGTCTTACTGTTCAGCGTATTTAATACGCTCGCATTCTAAATCTGCCAATCCTGATAACAACCCTTTTTTTCCATCGAGCTGCTTAGCCGAAACAAAATACGAGATCGTTGTATTCCTGGACACATGATCTCCAGCCCACCGCATAAGACGCAAGAAAGACGATTGCCTTTTTTTTTGCGCCAGAGTTAATGATAAAATGAAGCCCAACGTTGCTCCTAGCATTCTCAACATCGAATCTATCGCCGCACTAGGAACAGTACATGCGATAGCATTCCTCGGTGTGTTATAAAAATTGAGGAACAGAAACCGAGATTCAGGGGCATCTTGGTGTGGCGCTGGTGAAGGCAGATTCAACAACGAACGATATCGAGAATCGGGTACGATAGGAAGTCTTGCTCAAGGAAGCTTAAAAACCAATAAGCCATAGTTATTGAAGTCCGACGATGATGAAGATAAGGCAAAAATATGAATAGAAAACGGTTCCCTTGAAAAGATACCTTGGAGTAACCCGAGTTGCTTAGCCTTCACAGCGATTCGGGAAACGTCCAACTCCTTGCGGCACGGACAAAGAGGGCAGCTATGCTGTCATCTTAAAGGTTTCCCGTCTACCGCCGACTGAAATCCCTCTTCCACCAGGTTTTTGAGGTTGAGATGGTTCCTTCCCGGGTCTTCGCAGCAGGCCAAACAGGCAGCAGTCGGCCAGCTCGTTCTCAAACAGTTGTCTCCATCAGGTGGCGGGTTCAAGCGAGATCCGAGAACATATCTGGCCCCTTTTTCGTTTCCTATTCTTCTAGGTTTCTAAAGCATGAGGACTAAGCTCTCTTTCCATGCCTGTTCCTCTCGTTTCATATTTCTTGTGTGGTTCTCGGCCTTTCATAGCTCCCACAACATTGCTTCCGTAATTAGATTGCAGTAGCGACAACTTATCGTGGTATCCGTGCGTCACATAAGTGTATATCAATAAGTTTTCGAACCTAGATGTGCCAGCATTCTGTCACTTTATTTAGTATAAGCAAACTAATGTTAACATTGGACCAATCTAGAATGCCTTAGTATAGGTCTCGACTAGACCATACTTGGTCACTCGGGGCTTCCTGTCCAGGCCTGTTGGCGAAATGGTATCGCATTGGATTCCGGGATTGGATACTCCAAAGGTTGCGGGTTCGAGTCCCGTGCGGGTCGGATTTAAGCTAGTCTGATTTGTTTGTTTTGGGCACTTTTTTCATTGGGTTGTCAATTAGTTTTTTTCTGATTTAATATTATGTTTGAACATATCTCAAAATAAGGTTTTATCATAGTAACATTACTAGGTGTGCTACTATTAGTTTTTTATCCAGCATGAAGTATATCTATATTTAAATATATTATATATAATCTCTTGCTTTCTAGATGAATAAGCTAACATGACAACATGTTCATGGCTTAGCAGCCTTAACATTGAAAGTGCGTACCTGGTTTGATCTGTCTTAAGCTTAAACAGCACGTGGTCTAGCCCAAGAGAGTTAGCCAATAACTAGAAATGAATTAGCCCCATTCACTTAAAGCTTTTATCCTTTTACTCTAAAGCTAATACAAGCCGTGTAAGAGCTTGATGTACCGATATCGCGGGCAATTATCAACGGCTACATTTGTAGGCCACTGAGGTAACTGGAATTTGGTGTAAGCGCATGCATAGGTACAATACCTATAAGTGAAATGTGTTCACTACAGCCCAGCCTACATAGCAGGTACATTAGGTACCTACCTAGTGTAGGGCCCTGTAGCTGGCCCAAGCTTCCTATCAACCCCCTCGGCAATGCTTTGTACTTTGGCACGTTTTCCATCCAAGGCTGTTGATTAGACTAGGTACTTAATCTAGTCAGTGGGTGGAGATAAGGGCAGTAGGTACACTAAGCCAAGATGAAACGGACATCTCCATGTCCGCGATCGTCATTGACCCGGCGCGTTGGGGGATACAAGGGTACTTTACCTGTTCCCGCCAACCCTTGACAGTTGCATGCAGCAGATCTGACCGTCATTTCGTGTCATCTGGAGGGAAAATTTTTTTCACCACGCACCCTCCTCTCCTCGCCCGTCGCAACTTCAGCTAGATGCCTCTTTTCTTTTTCAATATGTATCCCAATACCCCTATGCAGCTTTCCGCACATTTTCTCACAGTATAATTCAACTTGCCTCTGCCGTCTTAATGCTAGTAGTGCTAGATCTTTATTGCATAGTATCTCTGTCCCGATTCTTACGAACTGTAATTTTTGAGCCCTAAATGGCCCCCCACGACTCGCCTGAGTAAAGTCCTAGTATACGACATCAGGAGTACATCAGAAACGGAGTACATCAGAAAAGACCCCTACCTATTCCTCTTTAAATGGACCAATTGGTCAAGAGAGGTATCCACACTGATATGAAATCCCGATCTCCTGGAAACGGTGGTGCTTCCTCCTATCCGACAGCTCGCCTATCGCATATCAGTCAGTACCTTGGTACATAGCTAGGTACCTAAGTATGCAATATTCCTTGCTCCGATGCAGTGTATTGCAAGTATCTCCCGTGAAGCAGATGACGGCCCGCCGGGGGCACCTGAATTCCAGCACAATTCCAGGGTTTCCATTGGTAGTTGGTATCGTTTCCCGAAATAGGGCGCATACGGGACGCCGGCAATCTGATATACCGGTCCCTGTCGCCAAATATTGTGACTCTTCTCGAGCTGACTCACCAGCATTGCAGAGTTGCGCGGGCACCTGCAAAGTGGCCGTGGTCTGAGGGAAGCAATGGCTCGGCTACGCATGCGTTGCTTCGAGGATGCGTCTTCCCTTTTATGTTGCTTTGTTCTTACCATATGAATCATCATCTCGTCAGACAAGCTCCACACGTGTGTATCGTCGCCTATAAGCTCGCTTCGATATAGCTGGGTCTTATGTTTACTATTCGCGAGATGGGACCAAGTGGAGGGCCGACTCTAGTCAGTGGGTATTCATGTTGCGACGTGGTTTTCGTGGCACCCTTTCCCACCCATAGTCTTGTGTTGCTTGACAGTGATGGGATGTTCTCAGAATATTTGATCTCTGCTCTGCCATGTCAGTCAACGTGAGCATATGCATCGTACTCCTATGTGTAGTATTGAGTACTTCCGATATTAGGATAGATCACTTTTTGCGTTGCACACGGTATGCTGTGCTCGGGGGAGGTTGAAGGTTGGTGCTGTAGTGTACAAAAAGGCCGCAGAGCTAATCGCGCCAAGCATGACGAGGCCCTACTGTAGTGTACAAGCGCCGCACCCGGTAATCCCCGATCCCTGTTAATCAATAACGAAACCTGTCAGCCTTGTCTTCTTTGGGTAGGCTTCGATAGCCATTGAATGGAAAAGTTTGTTGCAACATCCTAGTGGAGGGCAGAACGGAGGTCTATTGTGTCGACGCCGTGTGGGTTCTGTTCAAGCCCACAGTTCAGCTTCATTTCCTCCAACACGGTGCTGATAGCAGCTGGTGGTCAATGCCCAGCCCCCGGAACAACTCTTCGGTCGTTTTCCTAGTGCCTAGCAAACTTTTCTTCCTTTCTGCCGCACCGCCAACAAGCTTCCCTTCTTTTTCATCCAGCTCCTGTCTCTTCTTCCCTTAGCTCACCAGCCTGTCCTTTCATCCCACGACACCTCTCCTCTCCATCCCTAACCACTCAATCTCACCCATCACAATGGCCTCCGCTCGCATTGTTGCCTCCCGCGCCTTTGCCTCTATGGGCACCAAGGTCGCTCGTCCTGCTGTCCGCGCTTCCTTCGCCAGCACCGCTGCTAAGCGCACTATCACCAGTATGTTTCTGCGCGAATTTTAATCGGCTTTGGTCGAGTTCCTAGAATTGCCTATCGATGCCAATTGAAATGTGTGAGCGAAGCTCTAACCACGATTCCTTATAGGCAATGCTACTCCCCTGCAGGCTGCTAAGCGCCAGCAGGCCTCCAAGATTCTGAGCAACACCACTCGCCAGGCTTTCCAGCGCCGTGCTTACTCTTCTGAGATTGCTCAGGCTATGGTTGAGGTCTCCAAGAACTTGGGTATGGGTTCCGCCGCCATTGGTCTGACTGGTGCTGGTATTGGTATTGGTCTCGTCTTCGCTGCTCTCCTGAACGGTGTTGCCCGCAACCCTGCTCTCCGTGGCCAACTCTTCTCATACGCCATTCTGGGTTTCGCTTTCGTTGAGGCCATTGGTCTTTTCGATCTCATGGTTGCCCTCATGGCCAAATTCGTACGTATCTCCAGGCCAGGTTTCAAATTAGCTGTGGTCCATTCTGACTGTGTTGTAGACCTAAACAAATTAATATCTACTACGGCAACCTTGAGTCACACTACGGGCTAGAGTATGTGTGAATATGCGAACCGAGAGACGCAACCGCTGTGTTATTAGTATGACGTTCCGTCAGTACGTCCCATGGGAAATCCACCATAGAATAATAGACGGCTTTAGACTAGGGGATGGTTATAGACCGGGGTATGAAACCGTCTACTAGAGGGGCTTCATTGCATAGCCTTCAGGCCTATGTGTAACGATGGAAGAAAGGAAAATATTAGCTGTCGCCAGGGTGTAGGTCACCCTGCCGCAGTAAGCAACTTGTAAAATACCACACCACAAACCATCTTCGTCAACTGGAAGCACAAAAAATTCCCGTTTGTTCTCAGCAACAACAACAATATCGGCATTGGACTGGCGTTTGAATTGTGGAAATGAATCTTGTCTTGTGCAGCTCAAAATAAAAATAAACCGTCCCCACTCACCTTTGATACCAAGCTGTGGAGGCTCTGGCCCAGGAGTGCTCGATCCCGTGCGTGACTTACTGTCCTGCCCCATTTCAATGAGCGGTTTTCTGGACTGGCATAGTGTAGTTTAATGATCGGCGGACTGGACCGGGCGAGTTTCTCCTTTAGCCGAACCGACGACCTTGGTAACATACAGCCCGCCTTTGGTCCGCAGGTTTCTGCGTAGCGCCAACTCTTCGCACCCTCTCCCCCCACCTACTACCTCGCTCTCCAATTAATAGAGTCAATTGCTGTTATGTGGACCTCATGCGTAGGGGCTAACTATGCAGCAGTTAGAGACGGATGATGAGACCAGAGGTCTGCATAGAACAAATGTGGGCTCGCTGGCTTGGGAATCCCGAAATGGAGATGAGAGAGGAGAATGAGATGAGATTAAATGATTTGATCATCTAGCTACTTCGGGTAGTTGTTTATCTCCTGCCCACCAAGTGTTGCCAAGTACCTCAGCGGAGGAAAACGGGATGGCAGAGTGGTCCTTGGTTTGAACTCCAGCCGATAGAGGTGGATCTGATTAGGTTGTCGTCGAGGTACAGCCGACATACCAATATCTAGCGTTGATGTCCGTCACTGTAGAATTTCAGGTCGACACCTTGAAGTCGATGTGCGTTATTCTCCAAAAGGTCGGTTGGGATGCCCAAGTCTTGCCCGACGGTGAAGCATAATACATCCTTCTCAGCTCGATCATGGATGAAAGATGAGTCTTCAATGTCTGATGTCTAATTCGGCAAGACCTTTATCTCTGCCTTGTCTGTCGAAGACCGCAAGCATCCACTGAGGTGGTTGGCCTAGGGCAGCTGTAGAGACGTCCAACATGGAATGGCCCAAAGGTTATGAGACAATCGTCGTGGAGCAAAAGCAGGATGGCCCAGAGAAACTGAAAGGAGATGTTGGATAATGCATTGCCTCCAAAAGCAGAGGACCCAGCAAACGCCGCCGAGACAGCGTAATAAACGGCTTCTAGCAGGAAGAATAGCTGCATCTACCGCCCGATCACAGTCGAAACGACCATTTTGAACAAGACCGACCACATCGATCCGAACAAGCCGCCCATACCAAAGGTGCATGTCATGGGACCGGGACGTCCGGTTCTTGAATACCGCTATCGGTGTTTCAGTGTCCGACTATTCGTTTTCGCCAAAGAAACCAGATATGACCAGGAAGGCGATATGTCGCGCAGAAGTGGATGAATACCATTGTCGCACTAAACGCAACAACGGCGCCGTTTTGCGTGTCGTGATATCAACGAGAACACGACCAATCGATTTTATTGAGGACCAAGGGGCGCGCCGTTTTGATGCTCGTCAACTTGGCTATCGCAATCTCTTCGACAGAGACTTGTGATTCCGCTGGGTTGACCTTATTCTGCTTGCGACTCTTCTC